GATTTTGATTTTGATTTTGATTTTGATTTTGATTTTGATTTTGATTTTGATTTTGATTTTGATTTTGATTTTGATTTTGATTTCGTTTTGATTTTGATTTTGATTTTGATTTTGATTTTGATTTCGTTTTGATTTTGATTTTGATTTTGATTTTGATTTTGATTTCGTTTTGATTTTGATTTTGATTTTGATTTTGATTTCGATTTCGTTTTGATTTTGATTTTGATTTTGATTTTGATTTGATTTTGATTTTGATTTTGATTTCGATTTCGATTTTGATTTCGTTTTGATTTTGAATTTGAATTTGATTTTGATTTTGATTTCGTTTTGAATTTGATTTTGATTTTGATTTTGATTTAGATTTCGTTTGTTTTATTTGTTTTATTTTCTTTTATTTATTTCAGAGGTAAAATTGTAGTGGCAGCCCTCGGCCACCATACTAATGCATGCTAGCCCCAGGTAACTTAATGAATGCTAATACGTATAAGAGGCTAACGATGCTTAACAGCTTAAACATATGCACGCACGCACGCACGCACGCACGCACACATGCACGCATACACGCACGCACACACGCACGCAGGCACGCACAAGACACAAAAGATCCGACCAGACGTGATCTAACTGATATGATATGAAATCAGTGTGTTCATACCTGCAGTATGTGCGTCGTTGAATTCTTGTCGTCCTCGCCCACCCAGACGCCGAAGAAGGCACTCACGTAGTCATTCAGCTTCTGAAGTGTGCTTTGAAAGTTCCACGTCTCTGCAGCAAGATTTTTCGTTTTTGTTTTCCACTCAGCCCGATCGAGAGCAAGGTCAATAGAAAACCTCAATAATATCCATCAAGCGGCATGCGCACTTGACAAGACAAAGGCCTGTGACAACATGGCAACGAACTGTGACGATCAAACTAAAAGAGGAGCAACCTCGGGAGAGGCGCAGGCCATGGCGAGGAAGCGGACCTAGCTGAGGGAGCATGGTTGGAGCCTCGTTTCCCAGCTTAGACAAAGAGGACCGTGGTTAGGATACCGCCTCAGCACTGCCCAGCTAGGCGCAAGGTCACACAAAGGTCGACTTACCGAGGTCAAACTCGCCCGTGATGTTCCAGCCGCCGACCTTGGCGATGAGGTCAAGGAGAGGCTGCGCACCCAGCAGCTCCATCGTGTCGTTCTTGTCGAGACACGACTTGTAGTACTTTTGCGCCTTCAGGGCGGAGACGGACGCGTTCGCCGGCAGTGGCTGCTCTGCAGGGAGGTATTAAACACACAGACATGCACTAACAGAACTTGAGAGAATTTGCCGCACGGCGGTTGTCATTGCCCTTTTAAGTTTAACTAGACATGGCGTCCTTAAGAGTTGGATGATATCCACGGTCCGGATGGCTTTCCAATGAATCTCATGTAATGTATGTATTCTTCTTTCGTAAATAGTGTTCTTAATGCCTTTGTGAATAAAAGGCTTGCCTGGGTGGCCTCCTGAACATGCGCTGGGTGCCCTAAAATGTCTGATTGAACATAAAGCAACACTTGCCTTAGCTTAAAAACTAATTAATAATTAACCCCTGCACTTGGTTGAGAGCTGTGCACACAGAGCTCTATAGTGTTCAATATCTCCAACAACACATGCGAGCGCCAACATAAGCACCACAATGGTTCTGACGACATTAACAAACAAGGGTTTGCGTCTCAAGCGTGTAAAGTTTTTTTCAAGCTAAGTGAATTTTGTGTAGATTCAATGTTTTCATTACTTTTCTGGTGGCTTCTACTGTTTGAACACTGCAACGTTTATAATGAATGTTATTATTTTATAAAGCTAGTACTTCATAACATTAAAAAATTAGTGTCACAGATTTTTGATTAACTTTGATGAACAATTGTAAGTCATGCAAAGAGGCACGAATATAACTAAAAAAAGGTCATAAAGAAGTATTCCGTCGTTATTAAGCAGCTATGTAACGAAATTCCGACGGCCCTGCGACTAACAGAGACGAATCACTGAAATCTAAACAAAGGTGTGAGCCAATACGTAATTTACCCAGGACGTTCTTTAGCACGAGTTGGTTCTCCTGCCACAGAGTACCGAACGTGCCCCACATGCTCTTGCCCTCAGGTATAGGGTTCGCCTTGATCCATCCACCGCAGGCAAACTGGAAGAAGTCATTGCAGGGATTGATCGTCCAGTCCATGGCATTGATGATAGAGCTGGCGACTGTCACGCACGCGGGTGTCAGGCAGAACTGTGCTGCAAAGCACAATTTACAGCATGAAATACAACTGGATTATTCTTATTACCAGATGTACATGAGGACGGGGGACAGGAAGAGGAAGAAGGATGGCATGCCAGAGAGACAATTACGTATAACATCATAAGCATGTTAGCGTGCACCTTATGAGGCCAGATAATACCAGAAGTAGATCTACTTCTGATAATACTGCCGTCATAGAAATGCAACAATGGATAATATATTCTCGCATACTAGGTATGAGATATCCCCTGAGATAGCCACCGAGATAAATCCTCGGGATAACTTGCAGACCCCGAGATGGGTTTATCTCGCACTACTTTTTAATCCAATGATTTTCCTTAATTACAAGGTCAAAGGTCACCTTTACAGTTTTTGGCCAAGGAATACTCATAAAATTAATTAAGAAAAAATAATAAAAATATATATTTAAAAAAATATATATATAAAAAATAGAAATAACATAAATAAATAGAATAAAAATAAACGAAATTGGAAATTTTGCAAAATATTGAATTACTATTTGAACTGAAATGTTCTTTCTGCAATAAAAAGTAAAAATAAAAAAATAAATAAAAAATAAAAAATGAAAAAATATGCCAGAAAAAGGTTCTATCACAGTAT